ACTGGATGAAGAGAATCAACAAGGTAAATTAGATCTGATTTTCTTTTTGAAGGTTAAAACGAAAACAATAATAGCAAAATAGACATAATAATATTGACAGGGAGAAAAATCGTGAATAATCGTGAATCAATAGTCATCGTTAATGTAGCAGTTATAGAATGATGTATCAAAAAGGTGAAAAAAATCAATCCAAAGTACCATTAAAATATTGCAATTAACATTATTTTTTTCAAAACAATTGAAATTTGTGGTAATTTTCAACGATCTGACCAGTAAATATCATTATAAAATCATACTCTCATTAAGACACTTAATATTGCAAGAATTCAAAAATGATTGGTCTAAAAGTGTGTTCCATATTTGCATGTGTTTTATAATATTCATTCTCAGAACATGTTCCATCTTTCTTCCTTCAATTAATTCAAAGTCGACGATATTCCTGTGGCAAGTCTTTTGTAAGGAAATTTTTCAAATAAAATCGGCTGATATCACGTGAATAGGGCTTTCCAGTAGCCAGATCAGCAACAATTTTACCCAATAAAACAGTGAATTTAAAACCATGTCCACTGCATCCACTAACGATAAAAACGTTAGCCATCTCAGGAATTTGATCAATAATAAAGTCACCATTGAACGTATTTGTGTATAAACATGTTTGACTATAAGTTATCTCTTCACTCAAATCAGGAAATCGTTGTTTAGCGTAGTTTCTAATCAATTGAATATAATCTTCATCAACTGAACTACGTGGTGCATCCAAATCCGTAACTGTTTGCCCACACTGATGTGATGCCATTTTTACACCAACTATTTGTCCGTCCATTGGAAAGCCGTACATATGCGTATTTGCATCAATCCACACTGGAAATTGACTAGAATGAAAATATTCATGGTTCTTCTTGATATTTAAATAAACAATTTGTTGTCGTGTTATATTCAACGCTAAATTTAAAATAGAAAACAATTTACTTATCCACGGGCCAGCAGTGACAATAACACGATCAAATTGGTCTTCATTACTTCCCGAAGTACGAATAATGGTTTTACCATTGTTTAATGGTATGATATCAGTTACTGGTGTGTTTTCTAATATAGTTGCACCGTATTCACGAGCTAAACGAACATTCGCTAAAACACATTTAGTTGCGCGTAAATACCCACTATCTGCTTGATAAAGTGCGATTTCATTTGACTTTAAATGAACTGCAGGATAATGCTGAGTCGTCTCTTCAGCCGTAAGACGTTTATAGGGTAAATTTGTGTCGATTAAGGCTTTCTCTGTTATCAAAACGTCTGAACAATCTTCCGCTCCAAAGTAAAGACCGCCACATTTCACAAATAGTGTTTCATTTGCTTCATTTTCTAATTCATTCCACAATTTATAGGCATCACTCATCATTTCAGTATACAATATGTCTGGATACGTATATCGAATTATTCGCGATTCACCATGTGAACTCCCTTTCTGATGGCCAATTTCAAATTGTTCATAACCGATAACAATATGTCCAGAGCGCGCTAGATAACGACAAGTTGCCGATCCCGTGCCACCAATACCAACAACAGCAATTTTTAAACGATTGTCCATAATCTAAAGACAATCAAAATTTTTGTGAGATCGGTATTATTAAATTCAATACCCGATTGACGAAAAAATATTTAGTTCAATCAAAATAAAGCATTAGATGATGAAATGAGTAATATTAGTCAATTTGTAATAGCCGCACATCTCTTGAAGCTCTTGAACAATGATCCATGAGATTCCGTTTATTTGTGTTTTGCATTAGTCTCAACTATTTTAATAAAATAAAACAGAAAAGATGTATATAAAGTATAAAAATCATACAAAAAAATTTTTTACAAATATATTCTTAACGTTTTAGCACGATTAAAAACAAATATTTAGAAGAAAAAAAAGTGATCTATCCGTTAATCGTAAGAGAAAAAAGTTCAGACATTTGTGACACACTTTAATATAGCAGAACTCAATCTATTGACTACAAATCAAAGATAACACTGCTCATATAGATAACTAAAGTAATCGAAGGTCATCGAAATAGTAAACACAGTGAATAGACTGAATGTTGACCTTGATTAGCTTAACAAGCAAACGACTATCATTTTTACACTATTCTCATTCTTTGTAAGATATTCATCTAAAGATTATATTGAATCGCTAGTATTTTTAGATATTTGATCTATGCAATCATTTCAACATTTTTGTCAATTTTGCAAATGCATATCTTGTACTTCGAATGAAACCAGCTGTTATTATTCCTTTAAATGTTTGGGATAGACTGGAACGTTTCACTATATTTTTTACGGCAAATTCAATTCTTTCATTTCGTTGAGTACTTAAACATAACTTTTTTATTACTTCTTCTGTATCTTGATATTGTCTAGTTTTCATCGTTGTTGATTCTATTAGACCGTAAACAACATATTTTGGTAAATTTAATAATCGTTTAAAAATAGCAACTGGACTAATATTTTGTTTTAACAATGTTTCAGTTGTTCGTACTTTATTCCAATATATGTGCGTATCATTTATCAACAATTTTGAATATAAATCAATAAATTCTTGAAATTGTCCTAAAACAATATTTGATATTTTTTGTTTATTTTCACCAATAATCATTCGAAAATCACCTTGATATGAGAGAGAAGTTATTTTTAAAAACAATTCTTTTAATGTAAATTCTTCTGGTAATAATAGAAGTGCAACATGCAATGCACTTGTCAAATTTGTTTCTAATGCATAAATTAAATCTTGATCATTGGGATCAAATTTCAATAGTCGTACAGGTTTGTGTAAACGTCCAGCAACATACAATGTTTCCCAATCTAATAGATCACGTATTAAATGTCGACGTGAAATTATACCGTATTTGATCATATCATTATTTATACGTACATATGGATTGAAATAAATTCGAGCACCAGAATTTTCTTGAAAACGTGTAATTGTCGAAGCACCAAAATATCTCAGATAAGAATAATCTGTATAATTTATTTTTAAATTTTCTTGATGAAATTGATAAGAATTTTTGACACTCAATATTAGATCAATTTGATTTTGAACATTTGAATTTGGTTTATCAATATCTTGTTGTTGTTTTATAACACCGGAACCATAACCAAATGAAAAATTAATTAAATCATTATCGTTAAATTGTGGAAAATGTGTCAAAATTTGTTTTAATGATGAAGACATTTTTAAGATTTTTCAGTTTTAGTAGATGAAGAATATGTTGAAATCGATGTAACACCTTTACCTTTCAATGTTAATAATTGTTGTTTACCACGACGTAGTAAATATTCAATATAAATCAAATTGTTCTTTACATGTAAATGTTTATACTGCTTAAATTCTGCACGTGCAATGCCTTTTAAACCATTCACATTCCGACTTAAACGCATATAGTTAGCATACAACTGTAAAATTTCACGAGATAGTTTTGAACGACCTGACATAATGTGATATCATCTAGGCAAACATATAAAATAAACAAAAGCAAGGTTACCAAGAATACGTGTATCTATCCGGAATGTTATCAAATTATAGAAGAAAGATTTCTCTAAGGTGTCGTTGGATATCATGTCTTAGCTTTTCTTTACAAAAAATTGACATAGATGAGAATTTTATAATTTTTCTTAAAAATAGAACGTACACAGAAAATCAAAACAAGAACAAAAAAAACAATTTAAACTTCTTCAGCCACCATTTCTGTGTCTGATGTTTCCATAATCACTTCAATTTTTGGTGTTTTGCGTCCTTTAAATAATGTTTTAGTTGTTCCAGTTTTTTCAGCTGCTACACGTTTAGCCATAGCTTTTTGTACAAGTTCTATTTCTTCCATTGGTTTATTAGCTAAAAGAGAAATCAGAATAGTAAACTTTTTCCTATTGTGCATGATTTGAACCTACCGTTGGGTGCTCGTATCAAATGAATATAATCACGAACTTCACGCATATCAGCTGCTTTCCGATCCAATGTTCCTTGTCTAAGTCTAGAAGAAAAAAATTAATTCAAAGTGAAAATTAATACAATATACTTTGCCACTTTCGTCTGGAGTACAGTATGAAAATCGTTTTAATGGTGTATATGTAATACAATAAAAAGATCGAGTTACCTTTTCATTACATGATGTGATTGTCGTTTTGTACGTATTTCATCTATTTTATCCATTGCTTTCACTAGAAAAGTGAACGATAAACAATAAACATAAAGATGAAAATCTCTGCTATTGTTTCAACTTACTTGTATTTTGCCATAACTCTCGATTGTATTTAACTGGTTCATTTCGACGTTTTTCGAAATCGAATATGCCATCGGTTGTTAATTCCTTGCCCGTGAATTTTCGATGTGCTTTTGTCCAACGTGATTTTCTTGGATTCCATTTTTTTTTAAATGCACGATGACATTTTGATCGACAAAAACGAAATATTTTACAATCATTACGGACAAATTGAATACCGTGACCTGGCCAAATTGTCGATGAACAGAAATAGCACTAAAACAAATCATTGGTAATTAAAAGTAGACAGCTAAAACAAACTTGTACAATACTAACCTTTTCTAATCTCATGATGAGAGAACAAAGTGTTTATCTATCTAGAATTCAAATGGAGAAAATAAAATTCCAACAAAAACATTAATATCATGTTTCAACATATTACGTAAATTTTCTGAAGAAAAATTGGGAATAGTAGACTATGACAATCAAAGATCATTTATTTCTTCGATTAACAAATTTGTCTGACCGAGAAAAATTTTAAAACCGTCCATGCCGACACGTTATATCATACACTATTGGTCGAAATAAAGGCAAATGCAAACTGATGTATATCCTCTCTATTGAAAGATTCTGAACATCTACTTATAGTTTTGATGTTTGTTGACCTTCTCAACATATTAATTTTTTATTGTCCTATACTAAGTAGTATGGAATTACTATACAAAAAAGTTGAGATGCAAAGGAAATAATACACAAAAGTGTCAGTAAAAACCGTGTCTTGACTCTATCCATAAATATTGCGTATTAAATTATATTGAGTATTAATAAATTATTGCGGAAAAAAATGCGTATTAAATTATATTCGCTGATCGAAATCACGTACCAAAGACCACAAATAATGAATAATACCATTAAATATTTCATTTCCATCTATTTTAATCCGTTCTTCCCCAGCATAAAACCCAATTGAACAATTCTTTTGTTCAGTTCGATTATTCTTTATACACAGTGGCAGATCAACCCATTGTGGGGGCAATTCAATTGTGAAAGAATGCATCATATGTGTGGAAGCAAAGTCAATTGATGTTCCTCCACATGGATACAGGAGAAGAGATGCTTGTCCTACGGTATACGAGGAATGATTATTAATTCCTGACATTAGTTTAATTGCTTCTGCACTTCGACGCAAGATAGAACTAAAACCAGCTGGTTTTGAATTTCTTGTATAGCTCCACGGTAATAACCAGTGCCGACCATACATATGTAAACTGAAATAGACATGCATTGAACGATAGGAATCAGACTGACCATGCATCGACTTATGTCCCTTTTTTCTATTTGTTAGAAACCGAATGACACTTTGGACTTCAGCTTCTGAGGCTGGTGATGGACCTCGATAAGTCTCTTGACATGGATTTCTTGCCCCAGGATATGTTTTCCATTTAAATGGAAAATTACGATTTAAATCGACTCCATAACCACAAGTTTTATCAAACGCCCTAAAGTCTGGATAAATTATTGGAGAGCGATTTTTTCTCCATAATCTAACTGTCTTCCTTGAATATTCATATCCGTCAGGATTCATCATTGGCAATATATAAAAATCGAAATATTTTAATACATCTTTTACTTTTTTATTTTTATCTTTCAATGTCAGCAGATATATAATAAAATAGTTTGCTATACCCGTTGATAACCATTCTCTCGCGTGTATACCGGCATCAATCCAGACACCTGTTCGTTTTATCTTCAATGATTGATTTAATTTTGTCGATATTTGAACAACTGTCAGTGTCCGATTCTCATGTGTAAAACCAATGGGACGTAATTTAACATATTTTTTGGTCGAAGATAATTTTGTTAATAACTTTTGCCAATTTTGTTGCTCTCGATAGGTAAGAAATCGTTCGAGGTAAACAGAATCCAAGGGATTACTGTGTTCTAATACTGAACGTTTTTGCCGGCGTTTAATTACGTTTAAATTCCATTCAGCTACGTTAGAAACAATTATTTTGAACGTTCCACGATAATAAATTACATAGTTTTTAAATTGATCTAAATATACTGTTGGTATGAGACAAATATAAACGAATTGTTTATGTTGCTCTAGCAAATCTATAGCTGGAAACTCTTTTTCGATGATTGAATACACCAACTGAATCTTTACCAGCCATATTTGATCTTTCGCATGAGAAATAAAAGATAATCTTACATTTACGATTGAAAAAGATAGAACAAATAAAAAGATTAAGTAAAATGAGCGTAACATTCTTGTGACAAATTATATTTACTTTGATTCATGTATGACTGTTAACATTGCAGTCTGTTATCATTTCACCTTGTTCTCTAAATCATATCGATAAAATGAATTAATAGTCTACGATAGATTTTGCGGACATCCCCTTATGGAACTCAATAACAGAAAACGTCAAAAAAGTGTTCCTTCATATATCGTCATAATCGATCCTCTAGTGGATGTACTTGATACTAAGTACTTGGATAAGTAATGTTCAGAGTATCTAGAGTTTTTTTAAGTAAAATAGGCACTTATCAAGTAATTTAAGAGATACAAGTACTTGATTAGCTTAAAAAATACTTAAGGAAGTACAAACGCAAGTAATATGATAAATTTGCAAAAAATTTGTCTGTAAGTGCTTCTGGTAGTTTCTACGTACTTGGCAAGTACCCGTTGCGTCCTTCTCTTCAAGTACTTGAAGCACTTGGCAATTAATTGTCTAGAAATGTACCATTTTGAGTTAAAATGTGAATCTGCTCTTAACAGTCAGATCTTACATCATGCACTTAAGACCGGCTGTGCAAGATGCAAGACCTGACTCTCTTGAATGCATCCGTATTTAGATATTCAAAAAGGTAATCTTATTAGACGAATTAAAGAAAACTAAGTGCTGTCCGCTTCCATCTAATCTCCAACTAGCTATAACAAGTGAATCTACTTTTTTAAGAAGTTTGTAGCGTATATTATCACAAAGAAAACGACAAGTTTAGTGTAATAAAAGATAAAAATCAATTAGACAATGCGGAAAAAGGTAAAATAAGTTGATAACAGTATTATAGAAACGAAAAGTACATGAATATTGACAACCATTTTAGGTATATCTACTCCTCAACGAACACTCGACAATTTAATTTTACAAAAGACTTATCATAAATCTGCTGCAACAGCATGTCGAAAATTGAATAATGATCTTCACTAAATAACTTCCGTTACGCCCTGAAAACCACATTTATCCAAATATCATGCACATAAACATTGAACGTTTTTTTGTGTTCAAGAAAAATTGATAGAATGCATAACAGCGAATGTCCCTTAGTTACAGATAGAAATGTGAAGGTGATCAGACATGTGCGCCGGCGAAACGCCGACCGTCGATGGTTTTTTCATGCCCCGCCGCCGACGGCAGAAAATAACTTTAAGATGAAGTGCCGCCGCCCAAAAAACTTTTTTTGTATGTAGCCGCCGCCAATTGCAATATTGGGCGTTTGTTACGATCGAAAAAATCCTTCGAAAGCCTGTGTTTGCGAAGTACTATATTGATTTTTTCCGTTTCACAATCATCACCGATTGACAAAAGATTGAATGGTTTTGGTTTAGCAATATAGACCTTACCTTAGTTCAAATCTTATTCCACGTAATCTACGACAAATGACTGGACAGATCATGATATCTGAAGCAGAGCAGTGAAAGTGGTGATAGTCTAACCACGTCAGTGTCTTCTGTGAATGTGTTCTGCACAATAGGACTTATATTCACCGTAAGGTGTGTACGATTACGATGCGACAGAGCAGACAAAATTCAGTTCATAACAATTATTCCGTACTTATAAAAAAACTAGGGAACATTTTTTACTTTCTCTCCCATTAACAGGTTCTCTATTTTCTTTTCCCATATGATGAAACTTTTGTATTTAGTACTTGAAAAAAACAGCGGCAAGTAGCATTTTTGCTTGAGGTAATTTTTTATAGAAAACAGTAGCTCTGTGAAGAAACAAATTTTCGCCGTTGATTTCGAAGCTTTTCACTCTCACGGTGCTCGGTTCTTATCGACTATTAGCTGAAACATTGCAAGTTAGTTTGTGCGCAAACTTTTTCGATGTAGTGGTATTTCTTACATAGCATCTACGGTAGCACACAAAACAGTAATTGAAAAGTGTCTTCAGCAATTTCAGATTATTCTTCTTGTTGGCCCACCTAAGAAACTATGTTAGGAAGTGTCGATTATGATACAGCTGGAGACTTATACGATCATCAGCACAACAGGTCAGAAATAATTAGAAAAATTGGAAAGTTTTTCAAAACACATTCTGTAAGTTTCTATAATAGCTCCAGTTGATTAAAAATAATCTGAAACTCTTCCAGAACTGAAATATCTTTTTCTCTCCTTTTTTAGAAGGTATAACAGCCGGGTTTATTAGCTCGTTATTAACTTTAATCGTGGTCGAATATGCGCTTAGCGATGTACAGATGTCAATAAATGATTCACTTGACAAATATTATTGACTGATAATTCAAGTTTTCTACAATGGCATGCACAAATTAGTTGTTGATTAGATAATATTATCTCAAAGAAAGTTGTAAGGATACGAGATACCAAGAAACCGTTAAAAATCATTAATATGATGTGACACGCTGCTGAAAAAAGGAACGTTTATATTATCAGGTTATCCATAAAATCCACTTAAGTACAAAAAAGTTCTTCCTACCGCCTATCGTTCTTTGAAGGGCATATTTTAATGCGAATATTAGGCAGGAAAATTCTCAGTCAGTACACAGTTTTTCCTCAATAGCAAGTAGAAAAAACAGCTACCGTTCTTCTAAATCTGAAGTTTGAATCTTTTAAGTGCTAATTTAGAATTTAAAATTTAGAGCAATTGAGAGAGAATGTAAAATGCTTCAAGAACGTTTCAGTATCCACGAGCTCAATGAAGATTTATCTTCTTTCTTGGTGATTTTGCGTTGATAATATTTGTCTATCTAGGACGACAGATATTGATTGCGATTATTACTTTCGAAAGTAAATGCAGATTTATCGAAACCAAAGTTCAGACAAGTGATCAAAAACCGAAACAAATATCAGATACAAAAGTAAAATAATGATCATATTGTTCTCGTCGTAGATCAATGCTGATTTAGTTCACGAAAACATAATTACGTTTGATAATGGTATAGAAAAATTAAATAAGAATTGTAACAGTAATGATTAGACTGCCGGATGCACGTAACTGTTATCTTTCTGAAATATAGTAAAAACAAGAAACATCCGATTATAAGTTATATATGACTTCTGCTATTTAAACTTGCCGTATATTGACGGGCTTGTTCCATTTCTTTCAAAGTTTGATCGCGTTGACTACACAATGAATTGAAGCTCTTTTCAGTTCTTGCCATCGGCTGAATATGGAAAGGACCTAAAATAAAATAAAGTTACAGTTATGAAGATACAAAGAATAATTTTTTTTTAACATACCTGGGATTCTTTTTGGTAAATCCCATGTACCGATAAACTCGCCCCAAGGGTTACGTGAGTTTTTTTGTATTCCTGGCAGAAGTCTACCACTGTCGTCGGTGATAAAATTTGTGGAATTCATCGTTGAAACACGTTTTGGATGCTAAAAAACAAATTTTTGTCGTTTCAGTCAGGAAATGACCATGTGACATGTCGTTGATTACATACCACTCCAGGCTGATCTTTCGGGATAGAGTACATCTGTAAACGTTTTGAATCAAATGTCTTTTCGTATTGATTAGCGCTATAGTTTCGAGACATTATTAGTCTACTTCAATACGACGTTGTTAACTCTATATCCCGCAGTTAGCCATGAAAAGCCTTCTGTTGTGCATAGGCATCGAAAAACATTTCTACATTTGTTGCCAAGCGACAGACATATTAGTGAATTTAAAAGATCACAATAAAATCAGCAGAAATAAATGATAGCTTTTTTCTCTTCAATAAAATTCGGAGGTGGCACTACAGGTACCTCAGTCAAGAGCAGTAGAACGCAAACAACGGAAGAATAACACTTTGACTCGAGTGGCACATGTGGCAACACTGTCGTGGGACCTCGTCATCCAGCATGAGAAGCTAAAATAAAAATTCTACGTACGCGAAGGTGTCGGCATCATTTTCATATTAATTTGTTTTAGCCTTACCATCTAGTCATCTTTTTCGTGACAACCGATGTCTAACATCGCTACTAGTCATATAATACCTGTAAGTCTCTATCAGCGCAGAATTCTCTTTAACTATTTGTCTAGTGTTTCAAGTGTATTTCAAATAAACTTCAATTCTCCCAAATTAGATGATTTTGGTAGCTAAGATAATCCAATGCTTTTTTTCAGAAGTTTTCAATTCACACTCAAACTCATGTAGTTTGATACAAACTTCTCACAGGACTCTTGTGGACTAGAGTCTTCAAAAGTCCCACATGGGTCCTACAAGAGTCATAAGGAGCCCCTTAAAAGTCCCAACAGACTCCCTACGGGATCCCGTGACATGAGTCCTGGGGGAGTTTCAAGTAGGGCTCAAGCCTCACTTGATTTTCGCTACGAGAGGATTAGTTTAATCTATCTTGGGGTCTAGCATTTCGTTAAAACATGTAGTTTGACCGATACATGAAACCTCTTGACTTGAACAGTTTTATTTCTGTTTTGCATCGGAGAATGAACAGAGAAAACAGTTTTTCGGTTTTCAGGTTATTTCTTTATTGATTTTCCTGTTGTTTTTTTCTCGTGTTCAAAACAAAATAGACTTTTGTTTTAGCTGATATAAAAACTCGATAAGGAGAGAAGAAAATAATTTGAGTTCAAAACACTCCGCCGCCTCTCGTTTAATAACATAGATATATACTCAAACTTAATATAGATCTTTGTTCACATATCCTGCGTATATATTTTTTATAGCAATTTTTCTGAAAAATACTATGGACCATTACGTCAAAATAAAGAATAATTAAAATAACAAATTAAGAAAACAACAATATTAGTAACGCTTATATACGCGCACACATACAGATATCAAAGAACTGTACAATTACATATAAAAATGAAAACAAATTACAGAAGGTCGTTTTCTGTCGAACGAAAAACAGGATCGGCTAATTTGACATGTTGAACACCTTTTATAGGTACTTCACATTGACTATAATATTCAATCATTCTCGGTACAGTTGGAAATGGATGGGAACATTGACCAAGTATATAAACACCATTATTTGAACAAATTCGCATATGAACACAACCATTTATAGTTCTAAACACAAATAAATCAGAGAAAATATGTTAAAGCAGTATGTTGTAATCAAAGGCAGAATAAATATTCCACTGTAGACGGGAGTATTTTTGTCATTTATCGTTGAACAAGACAGTTATCTACCTTCGGGATGTTCTGAATATAAGAACCACAAAAAATCTCTAACTTTTATCGCTGGAGACAAAGCTAACTTATGCATAATCCAAGATTTGTCGCCGTTCGCCAATTCAACTTTCGCCAATAGACATTCGCAATGGGCGAATGTCGAATGCGCATATACACACTTGTGAAAGAGCAATCGTAATAAAATCATTTTGGAGAAACTAACAACGTCATGTGCAGTGTGAAAAAATTAAGCACAAATCAAAGGTTGTTTAATAAAGGGAGGAGGCGAGAGAAGAAATTAATTCGCGCGAAGTGATAGTCTCTTATTTTTAAACATTCAATACGGACTACCAAATGGATACTGAGAATAGGTATTGACGAATGTTCACACGACATTCGTCAATAGTTTAGGGGTATTAGCGAAAGGGGTATTACTCACTATTGGTGAATGTCAATTTGCGAATGTCTATTGGCAAAAAACGGCTTCATCATAGTTAAACAAACTGAATCGTCATTGTCAATTTTAACTTACCGAATGGAAAGCGAATAATCATCTTTATTTCCACTTTCACTTTGTCGAACAAGAAAACTTCCACATGGACGGTTATATAATAATGTTTCGGCTTTTCTACGTGGAAGTGAATAATGATACCAACTAGAATATAAGTAAGCATAAATGAAACATCGTTAAATATAAGAACATGATTTTAAACTTACAAATAACGATCAATCGGTAATTCCTTATCAACTGCGTTATTTTCTGTTGCTTTTATAATCAATGACGGAGAAGAACAACGTCCACGAAAACTCAGTTTATTTGTTTCTAATAGTGAAAAAAAACATCTTTTATATACATTATTTATTTCAAAGAAATATATAGCTCTAAAGAGTACGGACGAGGGGGAAGTTAGTAATTCCAAGCAGATAAATGCGAACTAATATCAAAGATACTAGCTAGTATGTAAAAAGAAGAAAGAAAGTTTTTTTTACCAACAATTGTGTCTGCTTGATGCACATTGTTTATATTACAACATTTTCCCATAGTATATGGTGTGCGAACTACTGGTACTATTTGTGGAGGTGGTGACGACGTACCTCGTTTTAATTTTAAATTATTTTCTATATGTAACACATTTTTTCCTAACAAGCCACTCGTTATTGCTGTAGTCGATGGAGATGATAGACTGCCAATAAGGGATGTTTGCATGGCATCCCATGGACGTTCATATGATATTTCATTATTATTTATTCGTGATTGTTGATCGTGTTTAAGTGACGAAGAGGATGAAATGGTTGAACGAGTTGAACTTAAACGTTTAAATTTTGATAGTGCTTCTTCAAATGAAAGTGGCCCGTTCACTGTTGTTGTTTGAATTTTATTTGGAAATGAATCATTTGATGAAGATGAACGATTTGGTAATGGTGAAATAGACGAGGTTGTTGATAATGTGGATGTATTACTTTTAGACTGAAGAGGCGATTGTTGTTGTTGTTTATTTTCGATAACGAGACAGTTTTCAATTTTAACTGTTAACGGTTGATGTTGTTGTGGTTTATCCGTCGAACCCGAAAACATAAATGAACGGCTTGTATCTGTACAACGTAACGCATGCGCATTTAAACAAAAAGCAATTTTTTTCAATGATGGATCAATTTCAGTTCCAGGTCCATAGTAACACGTTGATTTCAAGCCACCTGGAGGCAATGGAGGAATCGGAGGTTGTGTTTGTATGTGAAATGAGTTTTTTGATGTACGAGCAGATCGTGTACGATAAAAATTGTTACTATTATTGATGGATAAAGATAAATTTGATGTTTCAGGATGTAATAAAGCATTAGCCGATAAACTCATTGGCTGTAGTTGTTGTTTCGTTTCGATAATGTTTTGTTGACGAAATGTTGATGGTGATGATTCATTCGACAAATTTCGAGTTATTAAATTTGTGTGGGCTGGAGAAGAAGGTGTTGATTGTTTTTGTTGTTGGTTATTTGTTAATAATTTTAATTTTTCTTCTTGTGATTTGAGATCCCATGGTGCACAATAACTAACTGGTTCTTCTGCAGTTGGATGCTTTGAAAATATTCGTGAATTGATAACAGGTTGTGCAACAGTGGTACTCATTGATAATGGTGGAATGCGAATGCAATCTTGATGCATGAAATTCAAAGGAATATCAATTAATCTTGTTCAATCTAAAAGTGAAAGGAAAATGTATCAAGTATATAGTCAGTAAGAAAAATGAGAACAAAATTTGTAGATATTGACTTCTGACATCAAGTGTACTACTTAAACAGTAATTTATAATCCATAATAAATTTTGCTGAGTTTACACATAGAGACACCAGTAAAAACACTTGTTTTCTTGATTTCTAGCAGGTTTCTAAGATATATTTAAATTGCAAATCGCCTTTAAACGCTAACTATTATTATCAATATTGAAATTCAAGGGTAATTCTATTTGACTTTTGCTATCAGATAATAAAATCTATCTCGTCAATCTATTAAAGTCATCTACTTAAGAGTTTGTAGTTTATACTCTCTAGATAAGAGTATGTTCTATCTCTTTATCGTTCAAAAAAACTTTAAGTAACAATCTTTTTTATTGATTAGTTGAAGGATTTGTATTTTAATCAACAAAGACATTATATACCTTTCTATTGTGAATATCTATCCATCACACATATGTTAATAAACTAGAATATGTATGGATATGAAATAAGCGGACAGCTGTTTTCTGTTTTTGTACCAGCGAGTAAGAGAAAGGAAGGAAAAAAAATTCAGCTGACCATACACTACTGATAGAGAAAACGAGGCTATTTTACTCGAGATTTTGTCAAACGCCCTCATGTCATTGCACACATATTCCATCATTTTTCTAACTGATTTCATTCATTATTCAATGAAAAGAAGACAGACAGACAGACACAGAGAGAGAGAGAGAACAAGACAGTTCCACGCTACCTCCTCATCTTTTCCTTTGCTACTTCAGCTCCATCTGATGACCGATACAATGTATGTGATAGAACATTTTCTTTTCACTTTTGAGTCGATGATGAACTTGACCATGAGTATAAAAGAAAAAGAAAAAAAACGTTGCTCTAGTTTGTATATATAAATATATGTGTTGAGCATTTTATTGTTGTTGTTAAAGAACAGACAATATGGAACCACATTTTCAACTCGATTTTTCTTTGGTTTATCTTCATCTCTGTCATGTAAACACACTTAATTTAGAATGCAAGTAAAATTTTATTCAATATCGTTCGGTGTCGGCCTGATCCTCGAACCAAAGATTGTCACTGCATCTTAAATTTAAAATTCAACTTAGTCAAAAATAGATCGAGCAAAGATTGTATATCTTGACCTATACATTTCTAATATATAAAATATTCCATCTCAATATATACTTAATAATCGGCACGATAATGAGAAAATAATAAAAATCAAAATAAGAAATACAGAGAAAAATGATCATACACACTTTTACACAAAATATTAATTTTTTTTGTACGTTTAGAATATGTATGTGCTAATGCGTCTATCTTCAATCATTGAACACTATCGTCATATACACCTATCAAATTGAAATCAATGCTATCTATCTACATCGGTGAAGAAAAACCTCGTCAGTAATCAATTCCTATTACTGTGATTTTAAGAAAAAAAGACGTACTTGACAGTTTTTTAATCCCAAAATAGGGAATCAAACTGTCAACAAATTTTCCCGCTGATAAAAACTAGGCAAAAAAAAATTCGTAGCGAGACAACAACTCTCGCCGTTTAATCTACTACTATTGCTTCACAGAAACAGAATGTATACGGAATTCGATTTTTCTATCATCAAAGAAGATTAAGATATGGATTGAAATTCAAGTTTGTATATAACATTATCACACATTCTAAAAGATAATTTGAATAAAAAGACTTGAGCCTGTTTGAAATGTCTATTATTTTTGTAGTTAATAATAATGCTTAATATTAATTTTTGATTCTTCTAACTGTTGTTGTAACCTATTAAAATAGTCAGCATAAATAGAGAATTGCTAAAATATTCTTACTTTTCCATTATTTCCATTTTACTTTTATCACAATGTTATGAAATTATTTACATAATATCTTCAGATTCTTTATTGAAAACTTAAATCATGTAAATTTGTTCATTTTCAGTAGAAAAATAATAATTGTTGCAACGTGTTCGATTACCTTGTGTAATAATAATAGTTGTACTATCTTATTCTAGTAATTTCTACGAAGAAAGAACATGTACACACTTTACTTATTATGTAATAATATATAATACTCAATTCTGATCTGCATGATGTTGAATACTAAGTAGACTAATATACATCCATATACATATATATATACATCGCACTAATTCTTTTTCGAGTTTTAAAAACTAAACATCAATTCGAGCTATATTATTTTGTTCTTTCTTTTCAATCAACCAAACATTAATACTTGTCCCTCTCTATCCCACTCATTTTTTATTTTATGCGTCATTTTCACCAGAAATCAGAGTGAAACCGATAAGTTTTGAACATTGAAAATATTAGAAAAGACTAGAGAAAAAAAAAGAATTGTCAAAAAAACGCCTTATTTTCTCTCTTTCATCATATCTATTCTATTTTTTCATACCATCATCATCATCATCAAAAAAAAAAAAAACATTTTGTATTCAATCGTTGATATATATATATTATTCGGGTTTCGTCTTTTCTTCATATGCACAACATTTTACATACACACATCTAGTGAAATGTGTCAATGAACGTTTTTGTTAATCGAAATGTCCATATATATAGAGAGAGAGAGAAAGACAGAGAGAAATAAAGAAAGGGACAAAGCTATTAATAAGACAAGTCAGATGAAAGAATTTTCACAAATGTTTTGGCTTGGTTTCTTTTAAAAGAAACATAATACTCTTTAGTGAATGATGGTGATATGTACAAAAAGAAAAAATTAATCCAAATCAATCACAATCATTTGTACTATTAAATGTTGAAATAGAAAAATTGACAAAAACGGCAAAAATTTTAACTGCCTTTCAAACTACAATAATTTCATTTCTTATATGTTTAATAGAAGAAAAAATATCGTACACATTTAATTTTTATAACTGAATATATATGTCAGTGTTTATAAGTCTTAATTAGTTTAAAATTAGAATTTATCAATCTATTAAATGAAATTTTTGAAAAACTGTGTGTATTTTTTTTCTCTCTCTTTTTTTGCACAAAACAGTTGTTTGCGTGACGATCTAAATAATTATTAAATGTGAAAATTCGTAGTTATTAGCTTGAAGAAAAATTCTGTCAACAATAATGATCGATTAGTGGTTCATACATGCAACTTGTTAAAGAATAATAATCGAATTTTCATAAAAACTAACTAACAGCCGTATCAAAAATAAATAATATTTTTATATGTTGCCTTGCCTGTCATACTAAGAAAAAAAAATTCTCTAGAGACTTTTTACTTATATCTACATATCCTATCTTTCGTTTTTTCTTATCTCTGTGATATGAGCGAGAGAGAGAGAGAGAGAGAAAGAGAATATGTGTTATATCGATATTTCGTTATAATGTACATAAAAAAAAGTGAAATAACAAAAAAAAAACGAATGTTTCATACTTACCAATCTTAATTGAATCGATAGGTACACGATATAAGTCAATATTTTGTCATTTGAAAGTATTTTCTTGATTAATTTCAATTAAAGTGTCTTGGGGATTTCCATGTTCAAGTATAGACGTCTAAAATAGGCAATAAATAACGTCTCGACAATAGAGAAATAGAAAGAAGTGAATGTTCTGAAAAAAAAAATCTCTTCAAATAGCTAGACAAATTGCTGTTAGCTCATGATCAAATGAGTGTGTAAAATATTTTTACAAATTGTATATCATTCGACTTTTTTCTCATCTTTAAAATATTTTATTTTTTTATTTTGATGATTTGTATATCATGACTTCTAAAATAAGGACGTAGACTATACACTAAACAAGATTTAATTTCAACTGAATCTCTCGTTTTCGCTTTTAATATTTATAATATAATAAAACATGTTTAGTATAGGCTAAATGTGCAGCTTTTGTATGTCGTTATCAATACTAGGATTTTATAAGTCTATAAAATATTTATTATTATACCATTTAAAATAGCTAAAAATTTCTTCTTTCTTCTTTTTCTCGTCATAGAATATTACTATTTTTGTTTCTCTACATTACTATTGTCATTTATTATTATTATTATTATTATGAAAAAAGACAGAATTGTAACAATAATATTTACAGTTGTTAGTCGAATAAATCAAGCAATTACAATTATGAACACTAACAATCGGGATGATTCAAAAACAATATTAAAACTTAGACATTTTATTCTCGATATATGAAGAAGAAGAAAAAAATTTAGCTGATCAGATAAATTTACAAGAATTCAATATAAAAACACACACACACACACTGCGTGCACATTTTATGATCCGACTTTGATAAAAGAAAAAAATGTCGATTATATGTTTTCCATATCATTACACAAAACAAAACAAAAGAAAATAAATAAAAAATAAAGTTTTAGATATATGTCATACTGGAAATGCTAAAGCTCAAAATCGTATTTTTTTTGATATTTTCTTCTCTCTCTTTTTTCTTTTTTTTGTATTATTATTATGAGATGACATTGTGTTTCTCGTGAGATGACAATAATTCGAGACAAAGATGGTAACAAGAATTATAGATATTATCAAAACTTCACTTAAATACACTTACAGACATCTATGGAATCTTAAGAGAAATACAAAAAGAAAAGAAAAGAAAATTCACTAACTTCTAAGAATGATGCTTGCATTCATGCGCAACATTTAAATGTCTAACATCGACTAAATCTCTTTTAAAGATTTGTCTTAAATGTCAACAAAAATTTTTCTTTTTTTTTTAATATTTTCTATTAATAGAAACAAAACAATAGAAAACTCTAAAAATATGGGGTATAATACTTATTTTGACAAATCCAACGACTATTAAAACAAACAAATAAATAAACATTTGTTTATCTATTACAGAAACATTAACGTTGAAAATTAACAAGTTTAAAAAATAAAATGATAGTAAAAAGTAGTTATACTCGTGGATAATTTTTCGAAAATTTCAGTCTAA